CGCTGTCCCTATTGCGGACGCACGGTGAATACGTATTGACAAATGCAGTGTTAAAGCAATGATACTTAAACGGTAAAATCAATGCAGACAAATGAACCATGAGACAGGGATCTACTAATGAAGCATGGCTCACAGAGTTTATGTTTTGTTCTTTCAAATGTGATTAAATATCGGAAATTTATTGTTCTTCAATTCTAAGACCAACTTTTGTAATGAGCTGTAACAATTCAAACATATCACTTCTTTTAACTTTAACTTCAATGGATCATATAGTATATTTCCTAAAGCATTTTGTATTTGGTGGTAATAAATATTGCGATTACTTGAGTACAATATCGTTTGCAATATTGACAGTATGCTTTTTTAACAAATAACTCATCTCACTTCATCTGATTCTGCTAAACTTTTTTTACAGCAAACTTCAGCAAACAACCATTAACATTGCACCTTGGTCAATCCAATTTAAAAATACAAAATAAAATTCCCTCATGGTTTTGGGGCAATCGTTTTTTCAAAAACAATTTTTCTTCTGCCTCAACCTGTGAAGCCAAAGCCATAAACTCATTTCCTATTCATCATTATGGCAGTGATGTGTGCTTCCTTTTTCCATTCATAAAACGGAGCCAGACAACATACACATCTGTCCCCTGTGGCAAATCTGACAAGTTCACCTCCAGAGCTGCGAGTCTGCGAGGGAAACTACTGGAGCTGTGCCTCAAGGCAGGAGATGACACACAAAGATAAGGCTAAGTGCTCACTGCAGACTCCTCATCACAACTTAAGCAATGTCCTGCCATTCTACCTTAAAGAGTTAAATGAGAGAGTTTAAAGTGCTGCTTTTGAGAGCTTCTGTCACATTCACAGAGAATTAGCAACTTTTTTCTTATGTCGGAAGCTCATGTTCAGAAGCCACACACTTAAACATTTCATCGGGGTTAAGACTATCTGCTGAGTGATTAATACTCTAATAAACTACTAAAATGTAACTATATGTGAGTGATGGGCCTGTGAGAAAGGGCCACTGCCTGTACTGTATTTGACTGAGTGCTATTAATTACCTATTTATAGTGTGAGGACTTTTGACCATTCAAAAGATCTAATATTTTGTTTTGAATCGTTAATGGCAACAGCATTTATTCATCACTCTCTAACCTATAAATAAACTACAAAGCACAACATATTTTAAGGAGTATAACTTATGCTTGATAATTTCTTTGCTGACATCACATAATATCAATTGTTACTCACAATAGGCAACATTTATTTAATAAGATCCAATATGATCACAATTTAATAAATAAACATGAAATCTTTAAGGCTTTGTCATTTGACATTGAATACACTGAATACAGTTGTAACTTATGACTAACTTAATCCCACATTTTCACTAAGATGCCTTAAATATGTCCAACATAATCAATACCTGGAGGCAAAAGTTGGCAGAGGAAAATATTTGTCTATAAAATGGTCTGTAGGCAGTCACAATTCTACCAGGAGCAAATTGTGGGTGACCAAGAATGACAGGCCTGAGAGAATGTCACAGCAATTGTGGCCATCACAGAGAGATGATGGCTGATTGCTGCTGGTTCGCCCTGAATCCATCCAGGAGGACACCCGGCCTCATCTATGGCCCAACCTTTGGCGCTGACATTTAAAGTGTTGATTTTGGAGCACTTATGCTAATTGTTGTAATTTTCCTGATGAAGCGCCATTCTGATACCTTGATGTGGCCAAGATAGTTTTACATTTTCTATGCGCTCCTCTTTGCCATTTGCACCGCGCAGTGTCAGAGCGGAGTGCTACTGAAAGCAGACAAAATTGCAAGCAAATTGCATCAGATTGCCAACATTGTGAAAAGGTAAATTGCTTGCAAATCTATTTAAACCACTGGCCTATTTTCATCAGCTATGGTACTTGGTATTCATGATTGCTTAATTGGCGACCTTTTCTATTGTGTAGTGCTTTATGTAGCGATGGAAAACGATCTTTACCAAACCAATTACCCTTTTTTCCTCCTCGCTACTACATTAGAGCTGCGATTGCAACAACTAGTCTTTTGTAAATGAACTTTTGGTTTCACAGAATAAAGTGGCATTTGTTTGATATGATGTTGTAGGAAACACGTCTAAAAGATTTTTTCCCCATTCCATCTGCGCGTGACAGTAATAGGCTGATAATAGTATATGTATGAGAAGAAATATTTTGTCACAGTGCCAATCACTAGCTTTGCCTGTTTAAAAGCCCTTAGTTTATTTATTCCAACAAGCAAATTGGTGAAAAGGTAGTCTGCAATTTCACGTGAAACCATTTAAATGTGAAAATTGTGACGTTAGGGCAAAAAGGGGGGAGAAGTAACCCCTTTCTCTTCATACATTACTGACACAATAAATGTTATGGTGCAGCAGTTAACCTGTACAACCAGTGGTATTTGTTTTATTGATAACTTGGATATTTGATCATGGAACTATTTTGACATCAGTTACGACAAATGTTATTAGCCTTGTCTAAACTATTTCAAATCATTTATAGTTGTAGTGGAATTCAACATCTAGTTTATAGAATAGATATTGTTGATAAAATCTAATATAATGAAGCAATGTTATTGTAGTTACCACATGGAGAGATTGCTAAACAGTTTTTAAAACAAACCAATATGAATAGACTACTTACTGTGTAGACATTCAGTTCTTAATTAATTCCATCCAATCCTGCTGCTAATAATGAAATAGACTACATAAGACACAGTGTCCTCCATAGATTTTCTTGTTTATTAAACCCGTTCTTGTCTCTATGCTCCCTCTGTCCCACAGGCCAATAGAATTAACCCTGGATTAACCCACCAGGCCGCAATGTACGGTAATGGCTTTGGCTGATGACTGTGTCTGTGCCCAGTGCCAGGTACCATGCAGTCGTGGGGGGGGCAGAGGGGCAGCCGGGCAGCAGAGTGGGGCAGTACGCGTGACTGAGGGCCATCTCTGCACAGCTGCTGGGCTTCGTGTGCCAGGATCAGGGCAAAGGTCGGGGCAGGATGGGCCTCTGCGATCAGGGGAGCTCCACACTTGAGTCTGGTTTAGGCTCAGAAAACATGGAAAAGAAATGGCAGGGGGAGGACATACTTGGACCCTTACTGAGTTATATAAATGGTTTTGACCATGCTAGCACATCTAATTTTTGAAAACATTGAAACAATGATTTCAAGTTAAAATCCAGTTTTCTAACAGTTTAATTTAGTCTTTTCTATTTTAATTTTCTTGCTTTTTTACTGGATAAATTTCCTGGCACAGTCCTCTGTTTATCTGGACTGAGTAACCACAGTCCTTTTTGATTGCTAACGTTTATAGAAAATAATGTTGGCTCACTCAGGTTTTCTCAGGTTTGCATGGACTGGAACTTTTAAAAGCACATTCAGAAAGACACTATAAAAATAAAATTGGGTGCAATCTGTTTAGAGGAATCACACAATTGAATGATAAAATTAACACTGATGAGCCAAATTAAAGTTTTTTTCAAAACAGGAGCCAGAAGACAATGCGAGTCCATAAACTTTTTTTTAAGTTCCTCTTCAGTAACTTTTTATCAGTTTGATTATATTATTCACAATTCTAATCTTTTTAGGGAATTTTATTAAAAGAACTTGTCATCCTTATCAACACTGGGGTTTCCATGTTTGTATATCTAATATATCTGACATAGGTCACATAGGATAAATATTAGTTTTTTTCCCCGTGCCAATTAGCTATTTGGACACTAAAGCCTTTTGCTGTGCATGTTTGTGGGTGTGGCTGACAGGGGTCTCCTCTCTGAATGGGGATGTGGACATTCTCAAGGAGGGGGCTGTATATTTTGTCTGAGTCAGGGCAAAGCTGATTGATCTCTGAGAGTAAAATCAATAAGAAGACGCTGTCATTTTTGTAAAGGATGAGTCGGGGACAGAAAATAAATGAAAATTCATCTTAGATTTTCACACATAACCGAGGCATTGTGTTCAGGGCTTCAACCACAGGTGCCCAATATCTCTAAGTATGCTGTACAGTATATATTAAATTCAACACGTCGTGTAATAGAGCTATACATATTTTTTCTTTGATCATGTGTGTACATTTTTTATTTAAAAAAAGTTTTAAAAAATGTGTTTTTTTTGTATTAGCATTTCAGCAAAAGTCTATAATAGATCATATTCACTTTTTATGGAGTGTGAGGGTTCCAAACAGTATATCCACAGATATTGTAGTCTGATGTAGATGTAGATGTTTTAATATTGTAGGTTCAAAGAATGAGTGTTTAGGCCTACACCAAATGACTTTTCAGTTTAATTCTATATCTGCATATATTGTTTTCCATTGTGAGTTTCCAATTTAATATTTTTTGACCTTTAGCAAATTTCCTTTTTTCTATATAAAGCTTTGTTTTTCATGCAGCCTGTCCAAAAACCTGCAGTGTTGTGTATTTCATGTGTGAAATGTGACGTTTGCCCTTGCACCCCCTCTGTGTCATGATTCCTGATTAATCCCTTTGATTATTTCCTGAGGTAAATCACTCCAGGCCTTGATTAGATCAGGACTTTGAAAACCATTGTCTTTCTTGCATGTCCCTTATCAGAACTAATGCAGCGGCCACAGTCATTTGTCTTGAGTTGTTACAGGGAATAAAGACCGCCACACTTTTCCTCGTAGCGGAAATATTGCCTAAAGATTAATTTACTACTTTTCATCTCCTCAGTTTACCGTGGGCCTCGTCTCCTGTGATATTTTTCATGCTTAGATATGCTGTTTTTACTTATTTATTCGTGTTTCACCTTGATCTTCTCATCTATTATATTACACTTCCACTGAGCACACGCAGAATATAGTCCTTGTGGCCTTATTGGATTGATGGCTGGAGAAACCATTGCATAATATCAGCTTTCACAAAGGCCATTTTTCACCAGCTGCGTTTCATCTGATCAGGACTCGTATCTCCTGCAGTGTCTTTGTTCATACCCTTGTGCTTTCTGTCTACAGCATTACAGGGTCTACTCTGGGGTTTATCAGCACCCATCTCTAATCTGTCAGATGTGACCGCAGATCCACTCATCACCCGCTGTCTGCACCGCTCAGCTGAGCCATTAGGGGCGCCAGGCTGGAACACTGCTCTGAATGTACAGCCGCCCTATGGGTCAGGGGATTGGAGCAGCCCTGTGAGGTACAACACTCAGAGATCAAGATGAACTAAAGGAAGTTTGTGTTAATAATTCTATACATTCATTTTCAAGATGATGATGCTGTAATAGTAATAGAACAGATTACCACATAACAACTTTGTGCTTAGTATTGCACGATAAAACTAAATTAGAGGTAATTTCTCTTTGATGCAGACGACAGAGCCCATATCAAACACGATCAGATGAAATAGTTTCTCAAGTCTTTCTTTAGGTCCTTATGCCGATGGGACTTCATTAGTTTGTGTTCCTACTCATTTAATTCACATTGACTAAGCAGGTTATCAAATTAAATCAAGCCTCTGTTAGGCCTGCCACTTGAGCCTTTAGGCCTGGCTTCATGTGTAAAATTGGCCAACAAGAGATTTGGGGGGGTGCTCTGCACGCCCCTGTCACGTCATCCTTGGCTCTCCTCAGGAGGCCCGTCCCGGGTCATGGCTTGTGGAGGGCCTGCCACAGGGCCACAGAGCAACAACACAGCCTCCAGCTGGGCAACTTATTACAGCCCCCTCCCTCACCTGCCCCGGCCATTCACAACAACATCAAGCCATCACATATTCATGAAGCCTGTGTACGCCTGACACTAGCTTTGGCTGCTGATGCCGCTGGAGTTGGAGACTGAGACTGTGGAGGGTGAGTCTGCAGGTGGCTGTCACATCCGTAATTGCCTCATACTTCCCTCGGCAGCGTAAAATTGTTTTCATTATGTGTCATGCACACAGTGCCAGGCAAGGGCCCCTTGAGAGCATTCCCAAGTGCCAGAGGGAGGAGGCACTCCACTTAAACAGCCGCTTAGCTTCAAATACCAAGCAGCGAGAGGAGGAGGACAGGAGAGTGGGGAAAGGGGTGTGGAGAAAACAGAGGAAGCTCATCATTAACTGTGTTCGAACAACACCAGACAAGTGTGAGCTCATGCACAAAACCCAGGCCGAGCTGATCCTAAACATCTCAGTTACCAGGGGAGTATTGTGGATCTGCAGCCCACTGTGTGAGCTCCTGGAGGGCTTCCGTGCTCTGAGCGCGAGGGGGAGGGAGCACAAAAACAAGGCAATGAGCAAAAGAAAAGAGAAAAAGTTTCCACCTGACTGGAGTTCCCATGGTTTGCTGTGCAGGAGGGTAAGCAGGTTTGAGCAATAAACTCGCCTATTGTCTGGCAATAATGCTCAGTCAGGTCCCTCCATTGGGATTCAAGGGTGTCTTTTTCTCTGCTCCCTGCTCTGCACTAATCACAGACCTACTTTGTTTAATTGCAGCAAAAGGGAGAAAATGTGTTCAAGAAGTCATCCTAATCCCTCCCCTTTAGCCCCTGCTCCTGTGCCCTGCCCTGCTCTGCCTCTGCGCTCTGTGCCACCCCTTACTCCACTTTTAATGAATGTTGGAACTTTACAGAGACAACAAACAGCAGAACCCTGATAAATAAAGCCAGGAGCGGAGAGCCGCAGGCCTTGGCTGATCATCTGAGAGAAAAACACTTCCGCTGGATTTAAGCGCTGCAACAAGTGCCATTAGAGCGGCCTGTGCTGAGCTGTGCTGAGCTCACTCGGGGTAAATCTGCAGTGAGCTCACCCACTGGGCTCAGGCCTCACAATCATTATCCCTGCAAAAGCACGTCAAAGCTCACTCAATGGACACAAATTCGCTCCTTCTATTTTTCAATTGCAGATTTAGAAACTTAAGGTGCTGTGTATTGTACTTGATGACTCTGGGGTCACAGGCGCCAGGGGGGCAAGGAGGGGATTTATCAATCAGGACTGCACTCTTTCTAAAGCTGAATAAAAAGTGACCCATGAAGAGACAAACCAGTCCCCTTTTAACCAAAGGCTTTTCTTATTCATTAGATCCGGATCCTGGCGTCTCCTTTTCCACTGAACGAGCCTCCTCAAGCACAAAGCACTCCAAAAGATCCCTCCACCAAGGTTTAGGATAACGTCATCTACTACCTCTGTGAGTGAGTCCTCTCTGACACTCAGCTAGAAGCATTACATCAACGGCTTGTATTTTTTTCTGAAATATATTAAAATACAGTTTTTAAACAATGATTGCATTCCCCTCAAGAGTAGTTCAAAACACATAAAACAACAAACAAAATTGTGTCCACATTTGGTAATGCAACTTTGTTTCTATTAGATATTTTATTATTAGTTTAGTTTATATCTGTGTTTTGTTTATATTATTAAAGATTAGTTAATTCAGCACTTTTTTAAACATCAACTACAAAAAATACAACCGAAATGTTCCTTCTTTCCTCAGTTTTGAACAAACCACTCTAACTAAATGTAGCATTATTATCCTTTCTTATTCTTCTAAGTGAGTTTTCAGAAAACGCAAATAAAATCATTGACTTTCAAAAAATGAAGATTTAGTAGAAAATCTGCCCTAAATAAAGGACTCCCGCGTGACCCAGGGCAAGTCACTTAACCTCTGTCTTGATGGTCAGCGCTGGCCTCAAACACGAGACAGCTCCTCAGACTCTCAATGGTAGAAGACTTATTTTATGTTTAAATGTGTTTATCTCACAAACACTGAATATTGAAAATGTGCACTTATCCCAAACCTCTATATTTTTAAATTAAAACAATTCTTTTGCATATGAACTAAGGAAGGTTCCTCAATTTATATTTACATTGTTTGAGTTTTATTATTCCGTCCCCAGTTTGTCCCTAACTTTTGTAATTCTGCAATAGACTGTGGCGAGCCAATGAGAGCCATGGACGTTTGTGAATGTAGCATTATGACCCAATCACATTCTGTGCCTCTGAAAGACTGTTTAAATGGTTTGGTTTATTATTGGCCAGGAAGGCTAAAGGCTTCTGTCAGCGTTTGGGAGAGGGAATCACTGGCTCTTTACTGGACAGCTGTTCCGGCCTGAGCCCACTTTTCATATGGATATGTATGTTAATGACAGCCAATGGACTGGAGATGAAGAGGCCTGAGCTCTAGGCCCGCTCTTCTAAAGCCTCCACAAAAGGAGCAGTAAAGAGGCTGCAGTGGTGAAGCTCCCACTTTTGTGCTCTGAATTAGTTCTGCAAGCAATGAAAGTGATCTTTTCTGGACGACAGGGGAAGTCTGCCGATGGCTGGACCAGCTCATTAGCACAAAAGTCTGTTGGGACATATAATTGACTGATGCGGATCGGCCGGCTGTCACAACACAGGCCAAACTACTGTGGGATGGGCCCGCACAAAAAAACACCTTCCTTCCTGAGCTCACCTCTTTACATGGGGGACGGCCTCCTCTTCTTTAGGTGTCCTTCTGTTTACCTCCTCACGTTAATGTTGACACTGACAGCAAAAGCTAGTCGCTGTCAACACCATACACTACAATATTGATTTAGTTACATTTAGTATTTTGTCTAAAAAATATAAAATATTATCAGTAATTACACAACTCTTAAAAAACATGTTTGATATAGTATACATACATTGTGTGTTTTTCTCTGGCTTCTCTCCTCTTTTTTCCCTCTGATATGTCGACTACAGCAGCAACATGCTTAGTGCACCAGAAGTCCCTAATGGCTGCATCATGGTTAAATTGACTGGAAAATGGTGTTTTAATTTCCATGTTAATTGAAATGGACTAATTGTTAATATATTCTGAGCAAAGTAGCAAAATGGAATACATTTCCAAAAATGTAATCCATTTGGAAATGCTTTGCTGACTTTCATGATTTTGAGTGTTTGCTTGAATGTGTTTTTAAAATTAATTATTAAGCCATTCAATGCCAGGCTTGTATTTATATGCATAAGACGTATCAAGTTTATTTCACTCACATTGTAAAGAAGTCCACAAAAACAATTGTTATTGTTTTTTCATTTTTTGCCAAAGGATTTTGTCAAGCAGCTAAATAGGGTATTCTTCATGGTCTCCCTTCTTTACAGCCAACTATAGAAATTAGCCCTACGTTTCTCGGCTCTCACACATGGATACACACGCTTGCATGGACACAAGAAAAATTTCTTTTCTTCTGTCAGCATTCCTGGCCAACAATGGCTAGATTAGTGGACGTGAGGGCCCCCTCGGGGGCATGTATTGTGGCACAGAATACCCTCGGCAGGAACAGCTGGTAGGGGTTAATGGCTACTGAACCTCTCAGCCGGAGCCCTTTCTCTATTGTGTGTTCCGCTCATGGGAAGGAAGGAGGCCGCTGACAGCTCTGGGTGTGAGGAGCCCTGCGAACAGCGCCGGGTCACCCCAGAGGGAGAGGGTGGGGGCGGGGTGCAGGCACAGGGTGGTAGCATGGTGGCAGCGGGGACCAGTGCTGCACATCAACACAGTAGAATTAGCAGCAGTGTATATTCAGCACCTGACAATAAGGGCAGCAGTGGGAGGGGCCTACTGTATCCAGGGGCGTGATGGTAATGACAGTGAGGAGGGGCGGAGGTGGACAACATCAACACCTCATATAATGTCATGAAATAGCACAGGCGGCTACAACTGTTTCAATGAGCTACTTGTTGAACAAACTGCCTTTATTCTTTATCCTTACTGGGCTGGCAGGTCTTGTTTTAACATGACATTTGACCAGGATTGTTCAGACATGTGAAACTAATTTGAACTAAAACAGAGATATGTGTGAAGTGTTATAGAGTCACATAATGTGGTTAATAATATTAGTTAATGACCATACAGTGATCCCAAGTCACTGTTATAGTTTACAGTGTCATTTTAATATGTTAAAATCTTACCATCGACCTCTGTACATTGGCTTTAAGTTCCTCTATCTCTCTGTGTCCGTGTGTGTGTGGGCATGTCTGTCAGGGCCGGAGGGAGCTGTAATCCCCCCGGTGGGTCGCCCCCCGCTGGGCTGAGCCTGCACACCCGGGCCCCGCTCATTAGACAGCTGATTATGATAGTGCGGTGTGATGTTTAATCGGCTCTGACACCTGATTCGGCCCTGTTACAAATCCTGTCATGCAAATTGAGCCATTTGTGTTTGTTTGATATGGAGAGATGGGCTATGAAATGAAAAGATTAGCCCACAAAAACGCAGCGCAGTAGGGGACCTGTGGCCTATGCTCCTGCCTCCGCTGTGATTACAAAGATGACAACATGCATCTTTTTATCCTCTGCTGTAGTGTATCATGTTGCATTAATTTAACATGCTTTTTTTCTCTTTAAATAGGAAATCACAAAGCCCTATGCCAGGAATATCTGCTTTACCATCCCTATCACATCCTCCCTTTTGTTTAGACTTTATAGCATGTTTCGTAAATTGCTTCATACATGAAATATTTCCAGAGCAGAAAGAAATTGCGATTGTGCCTTTTCATAGTCACCGAAAAGGAATCATCTGCAGAGCACAAGTGGAACCCCAAAACAAATTGCTGATCTGACTGTTGTATTGAATTGAATTGAAATTGTAGCAAGATGTCGACAGTGGGGATTTAATGCAGGATGTTATTTTTCACTATAGACACTTGTTTTAAGATGACCACTTCTCAACCATGGCTCAAAAAATGACTGCTCAAACAAGTCTACTCAAGCATTTTTATAGTAAACATTTCATTTCTTCACCCTCTCTTGAGATGTCTTTGTCACTGCTTGTAGCTCGGGGCTTAATCTGAAAGACAAACTGTCCCCAAAGCATCTGCAAGGCAATATGTTCTCTTAAATGCCTTGTCAGTCTACTTTAAACAGCTGATGTGTATCTTGAGGATTACATTACCCCAAACAATGTCTTCTTTTCCACTATTGTGTAAATTAAATGCTTCTATGATTTCTCTGGCAGGCAACCAGAAGTCAGCTCTTGTGAATTATGGCAGCAGCAGTCTTTAATGTGAGTCAATGGAAACCCTACCTGTTTTTACAAGTTGTCTCGGGTGCCGAAAAACACCTGTGCAGCTGAGAAAGTGCCTCATTGTTGGGCCCTTACCTGCGTCGTAAAGACACCCGGTTTGCTGAATCACTCACTCTTCCTGGCGCCACTGGGCTGACACACAGTTCCTGCCAATACACAGACAGCCATGACTGATGTAGGCCACTTTAGCTTTTAGTAATGTTAGTGGAGATGTGTTTTGCTGGGACAGGTAGCATGTTTCTAGATTTATTTTTACTTATAGCTTCCGCTGGTTGTGCAAAAAAGTTCTGTGACTTCAATTCTTTTTACTATAATAGATTGGGTTTTCAGTGATGATATAAACATTTGTTGTAGTAGTAGATGGGATGTAACAATATCCAAATCTCTTGGTACGATATTATCAAGATATGCATCTCACGGTACAATATTTATTGCAGTATATTGGAGAGGCGAATATAATTGTAGATAGGACACTTTTTTGCTTTAAAAATACCTTGACAAGATTTTGGTGTGAATTATTTCTGTCATAATCCCAAAAATTCAAGTAAAAAAGATATTTCTTCATGTTGAATCATGGGATATATAGTTTCCTATGTTTGTAAGCTGTTGCTACTATAAAACCATGCATTTAAGCAAAGGAATTTGTATTTCGATATATTGTTGACAGTCCACAATATTGTGAGATTTTTGACCATACGATATTGCGATATTTCGGTTATTGTTACATCCCTAAGTAGTAGTATCAGATGGCACACTTGTCTCCATGGAGAGGCTATTACTTGCCAGAAATGTTCAACAGTATGGCTTTAAAATATAACACATGAATAGTATTAATAGGTGTTTTACTGCTTCAAAATATTTTGGAAAAAGCGTTCTTGTTATAGGCCTCTCCACAGATCTGGCCTTAACTTTGACTGGTGGTGTCACTTGTGTGTCTTTGTGGATAAGTTCAGTGTCATACTGTGGAACATTCCAAGCAAAGCAAAACAAAACAGACTTGGTGCTCGCAGACAAACTCTCACAACCACTTACATGTATATAGTGCCTGTTTAAATATGCAAATCATTTGTGGCATGAATACTTTTCAAACAGCTTTCAGCACATAAAGATTGAACGCTGTACTTCTTGTAAACGTTTAAACACAATT